GTAAACGAGTCACCGTATGACATCATCCAGTAAACGAGTCACCGTATGACATCATCCAGTAAATGAGTCACCGTATGACATCATCCAGAGTTAATGAGTCACCGTATGACATCATCCAGTTAATGAGTCACCGTATGAAGTTAATTTTCCTAAAACAGATTCAGTCGTTTCGAGCATGCTCACATCACTATTTACAGCAAACCAAAGAAAAGCTGAACCCAGAGGAACGAATGGGGTCAAAGGTCAGCCCTAAGCACCGCCCCCTGGTTGGTTGGAGTGAGAATGAGGAAGGAAGCGGGTGGATGCAGTGAGGAATATGGCTGGTGTCTCTGTTCTGCAAAGCAGTGAGACTTTATAGCTCCTCATAATCCCCACCGTCTCTTTTGACTGAAGCACCCCCCCCACCCAGGAAGTCCTCCAATTCATCAACTTTTGTTTTCTTGGATCGGGATTTTTTCTTCTTCTTGTCATCTCCTGCTGCAGCTTCATCTTTTTCCTTCTTCTTGTGTTTGTGTTTCTTCTTGCTCTTGTCGTCTTCCTGTGTGGAAGATAAAACGTTCATTAACTCCTGAGCGGATAAAGAAGCAAGTTAACTCTGATCATTCAGATTTTCCAAAATGATTAATAAAGCCATGTATGGTCAACATATCGGTTGATATATTCATGTCCTGACGACGGCGTCTAGCCTGGTTTATTAAACTAAGGACGCATGCTCTCAGCATCGTCATCATCGTCCTCTTCCTCCCCTGAGTCAGGAGAAGCGAGCGCTTCAGGAGGTGGAGGCACTAGCAGCAGCTCAACAACAACTGCTGCTGACCTGATCAAGGCTGCACTTTAAAAAATGAAATTGCCTGGAGAGCTGTTCTAAACAAAATGTTTTTCTGTTTACACTTGTGTACAAAATAAATCCGTCTAATGCTGCCGCTCCATCATATGAACCATGCAGCTCTGTAATTCTGCAGTAAACCAGCAGCAGCGTTACAGATGGACGCCTGTAGGATCCGTTAAATGGAGGAATTTATTCTCCGTCTCTTCAGTTTTTTATTTAAATAAAAGCAACAAACAGGTAAAGTTTCTGGCTCCTCCAACTCCAGTTCCTCAGACCATTCAGCTCTAAGTCAGAACATCTATGATGGTCCTAAAGAGAAGCAATTAAACTAGAGATAACTGAGATCAGTCTGTTGAACGGCCTCACCTACCCAGCATGCATTGCATAGAGGGGACTCCCACGGGTATGACCAAATATGAAAGGCTAATAAATGACTGAAGAAGAAATATTGAGTTTGACCAACGGCCATTTGAAGTTATTACGGAATATTAAACGGCGGCTTATACTGTTGCAACCGCACACATCAAATGTTGCTTGGGTCTGGGCGCAAACTGGTTTTGCTGGTATGCTTTAGCAACGTCGGTCTGGAATTTCTAGGGACGCACAAGTTTCCTGCCAAGGTGCAAGGGGGAGTCTATTCGAGAACTTGCGAGAACTTTGGCGGATGGTCATGAGAACTTCTTCGGCGGCAACAGGAGTGTTAATTTTCCAAAACAACAAGAACGCATCTGGAAGATATCACGGTCACGGAGACGGATCTAGAGTTGCTAGACATCGAAGAGGAACAGGTTCTGTTAATGGAGTTTGCATAAAGACAAAGGGGGACGTGTAGGTGGCGTTTACGCCCCTTGAATCAGACCAGGGATGAGGCTAGGGGGTTTTGATCCGGCACCGAATCGAGAAGGACGACCGCACAGACAGCCGGAAATGCATACCAAGGACCAATCACAGCTTCCGCTTGAGGTGCGTGACGACGGTTGCAGAGCATCTGCTCGGGGGTGGAGGGGGGGTGGGGGGGGCGTGGTCGCGCACAGAGACAGATTTGAAGGTTGCAGATGCTTTAGGCCCAAAGGTTCAACCAGGTTAAACGCCGACCCCTGATTGAAATATCTGAGTCAGTGTGACGGAGGTCACGTTCACAGCGGCCGATGAGGACAGCATTACCTCCTTGCTTTTCTTCTTCTTCTTTTTCTTCTCTTTGGACAGCATGCTGTCCTTTTCTAGAATAAAGATGAAGATCAAAGTTAACTCATCTGAGGTCAAAACACACATTTTCTATAAAATGCTGCAACATGAGACTCAGAAACAGGAAATAAACGTGTCCACAGTCATTGGGAGGCAACAGTTCCTCCATCTTTCTCTGGTCCTCATATAATTCCTCATCTAGTCAGAGGACCTGGGCTCCAGGTCAGGGACGAGACAATCCTGGACGGGACCAGAGAGTTAACTGGTTTTACTGGTTCCAACATGACTGACCTTCCTGCTCTTCGCTGCTGTCCTTTGCTGTTCGAGGCTCTTCGTGGATTCCCAGGCCAAACAGGTCCGTATCATCCTTGGATTTGAAGGAAATCCCAGTGGGTTTCAGTGGCGCCTTGGAGAAACGCGTGTCTTCATCAGAGAGGTCTGACAGAAGCTCATCTCTGACTGGAAAGATGTCCTAAAAGCAAGAACGGGAAAGCCGCTGATGTCAGAGAGAAGCAGCCCCTCCCCCCTCTCCCTCAGCCAATCAGCTGCAGCTCACCTTTGCAGTCTTTGGGGTGTCTGAGGCTTCTGACTCAAAGTCAGGGTCGTCCATGACAAAGGAGAGCATCTGCTGGGCTACGGGGGCCTCAGGCTCCGAGTCCGAGTCCTCTGCTCTGGCTGGCCCCCCCCTCCTCCTGCCTGCTGGCGGAGCAGCTGGCTCTACTGCTGGAGCCAACGTCAGGGAGACCGGAGCAACCCTGACCTCTGGAGCTTTCTGGATGACCGGCCTGGAGGAGGAAGACAGCTAGCAGTTTCCTCCAGTCAGAGATGGAAAAGTTCAGAAATGTTCCTGAGGAGCTTAGATGTTCTACTGGTCAGCTCTTCCTCTACTAGCAAGTTCTTCCCCTACTAGCAAGTTCTTCCTCTACTGGTCAGCTCTTCCTCTACTAGGAAGTTCTTCCTCTAATGGTCAGCTCTTCCTCTACTAGCAAGTTCTTCCCCTACTAGCAAGTTCTTCCTCTACTGGTCAGCTCTTCCTCTACTAGGAAGTTCTTTTTTTTCTCTAATGGTCAGCTCTTCCTCTACTGGTCAGCTCTTCCTCGACTAGGAAGTTCTTCCTCTACTGGTCAGCTCTTCCTCTACTAGGAAGTTCTTCCTCTACTGGTCAGCTCTTGCTCTACTAGGAAGTTCTTCATCTACTAGGAAGTTCTTCATCTACTAGGAAGTTCTTCCTCTAGTGGTCAGCTCTTCCTCTACTGGTCAGCTCTTCCTCCACTGGTCAACTCTTCTACTAGTCAGCTCTTCCTCCACTGGTCAACTCTTCTACTGGTCAGCTCTTCCTCTACTAGGAAGTTCTTCCTCGACTGGTCAGCTCTTCCTCTACTGGTCAGCTCTTCCTCTACCGGTCAGCTCTTCCTCTACTAGAAAGTTCTTCATCTACTAGTCAACTCTTCTTCTACTAGTCAATTCTTCCTCTACTAGTCAGCTATTCCTCTACTAGGAAGTTCTTCCTCTACTAGTCAACTCTTCTTCTACTAGTCAATTCTTCCTCTACTAGTCAGCTCTTCCTCTACCAGTCAGCTCTTCCTCTACCGGTCAGCTCTTCCTCTACCGGTCAGCTCTTCCTCTACCGGTCAGCTCTTCCTCTACC